CCCTGCCGAGAAGCCCGTGGGAAGCCCGTGCTGGGAGCAGGCGGAGCGGGCGCGGGGCTGCGGGCAGAGCCAGCCCCGGGGCAAGTCCTACATCTGCAGTGACTGCGGGAAGAGCTTCGTGTGCCACTCCTGGCTGGTCAGGCACCAGATGACACACACGGGAGAGAGGCCCTACAAGTGCTCCGAGTGCGACAAGAGCTACAGGAGGAAGGATTATCTCCTGAACCACCAGCGGCGGCACTCGGGGGAGGGGCTGTTCCAGTGCCCGCTCTGCAGGAAGAGGTTTGTGCTCAGGAGGAGTTTCCTGAAGCACCAGGAAAGCCACGTGCAGGAAACACACCTGGCCCTGGGGGGCTGGCCCTGCACGGAGATCCGGGGCTCCATCATGCACTCCATATAGCAGTTCCCATCCATCCATCCATCCATCCCTCGGGGTGGCAGTGCCCTGGGCTGCCCCCCTGCTGGAGGCAGGAGCCCTCAGCCCTGAGCCCCTCCCGGGCAGAGGGAGAAGGTTGGGGGGGTTGTTTTCCGTGTTGAAACGTTCCATGGAGCCATTTCCCAGCTGCTGGGAGGTGCTGGAGCTGTGGCACAGTCTGCAGGGCTCAGAGTTCCTGCTAGCCCTGAATCCACAGCAGAGAGAAGGAACATGGAACCGTTTGTGAACACTTGGGGCTGGAGTGTCTGAAATGTTCTCCCCGGGGCTGGGGGTGGAGTCCAGGGATGGGGCTGGAAATAAGTTGAGTGAAAGTCACTAATGATCCACTGAACAAGTTTCAGCAAACACCCCCTGGTGTGAAATGCTTTGGGAAAGGAAGAGTTGAACCTGGTGGAGAAAAAGTCCTTTCAGGAAGTGGCAACGAGACCAGGGGGAGCAGAGCCCCAGGGGCAGCTGCTCCAGGGCTCAATCTCAGGGCTGCAGGGGCTCCCAGGGGGAGTTCCTAAAGGCTGGAGTCCTCACCTGGAGCTGGCAGATCACCAGGAAGCCTGGAATATTGTTTCCATCCTGCAAAGCCTTAAAGTTGTGTTGCACTTGACTCTGCCACGTGGTGAAGTCTCTGCCTGGTCAGTCCTGTGAGAACAGAACATGGAGATGCTCCTCAAACACTCACCTTCAGGAACTGGGTCTTTGCTCCTCTTCAGTGTCCCTGGAGGGGGAAAGCTCTGCTGAGAGCCTGACATGACCCAGCAAGGACAAGATTTGTTCGTTTTGATAAGAAAAGAGTCTGGATTGGTCACAGGTCACTGTGGGGTCAAGGGCCTTGAGCCTGGTGGGGAAAAACAGAAGCAGCAGCACTGGCTGAGCCAGTTCTGGCTCAGGGCTGCTCCCCTGCCAGACATGGTGACAGAATCCCATACCCTGCCTTTTTATGTGCATGTTTCTGCCTAGGTTTTCTTCAGATGCTTTTTGTTTGCTGGAAAAATATCTTTCTCTCTTTTTTTTTTTTTTTCTAATTAAAATTGTTTGGGAAATGCTACGAGTCATTGGCCTGGGAGAGAGAAGATGAGCAAGGGCAAAGCAAGAGGAGAAGCAGGGCCTGGCAGCATGCACACCCCTGTTTTCAAGGCAGATCTTTGCTTTAGAAGATTGTGGAAACAAACAGTCATTTTGGTTGGAAAAGCCCTTTAAGATCACAGAGTCCAACCCTTCCCCCAGCCCTGCCCAGGCCACCCCTGCCCCATGTCCCTCAGCACCATCTCAGGGCTTGGAAACCCCTCCAGGGATGGGGACTCCCCCCCTGCCCTGGGC